CCAAAGAGGGGTTAAAAAGTTATTGCACACCTCAAAAGTGAGAGGAAAAAATGAGGGGAATGGCTGTCAAGCTAACCACAAAGCCTGCTATATGAGAGTCATAGACTGTTCAGGGAGAGCATCTTTGGATTCATAACAAGAGAAGGAGAAAAATGCTGGGTGTTTTTATTTAAGGCTTTAGGCTTATGAAAAGCCGGTTTCAGAAAGTACAGAGCAATAATCGACTTTCTCCCATTTACCAGAAACTGTAAACAGGTAATATAGCAAAAAATGCATAGGAAGCTCTCAGAAATGAACTTTGGAAAATGTAAATATAAGTAAGGAAGAAATAAAGAGTTAGGGGGACACTCACTGTACCTAGATTGTCTCTGATCAGCAAAGACAAAGGGTATGAACAAATGATGGAAGCAATGAGACAAACTGTTGATGAAGGCAGAAGAGTGGCACAGAGCAGTGGCAAGTTGGCTGAAGCACCTGAGGGAGATGTACTTTGTGGAAAAAACTATAACCATAATATGTATCAAAATGAGAAAAAATACACTGCTCAAAGGACACAGAGTAATATTAACAAATGCCAGAGAGAAGGCAGAGCCATCTTATTTTAATTTTTGCTCCCATATTTCTCACCAAAGTCATATTTGGTGAATTAAAAGCACCAGAAAGACTTGAAGCCCAAGATACTGGGAGATTTTTAAGAGAGCACTTAGCTTTTTTTAATTTGTTCAAGTGGTCAGATCGATCAAGGTGAATTATGTTCCCCGACCTTGAAATAATTAGTAGATGAGATTGTGAAACCATAACCAGTAATCATTTGGACACATCGCAGAAAACTAGAGCAGTGATAGAAAACTGAAGACAGGCAACCTTTGATCCTGATTTTATAAAAGATGGATTTAGATGAGGTCAACTTTGCTCTCAGGCAACTTTCTGGATCTATTCTGGAATGAATTATTGATGCGAGGGCCTAGAGCACTGGTCCTTAAGAGGAGACCAGGTGCTCAAGAAAACCAACCTCATTTTCTTTTGAGAAAAGATTTCTGGACTGAGAAACCAATCAGTGTCATAGACACAGTGCATGGGGATTTCACAAAGCACCTCGCAGTGTCTGTGCTCCGTCTGCGGAGGAGACGGAAACTGGAAACGCGCGATACCACAGAAGGGTTTGTACTTACTGAACGAAAGTTCACTATTAACAGTGTTGATTAATTTTCTTATAGTTCTCCACTTGGCTTAGTCTGCTCGATATTTTAATCAGTGATTTACAGAGAGAAAGCAATGTTTATCAGATTTGCAAATAATAGAATAAAAGTTAGAAAGTGTCTCGAAAGGATAGAAGCATTGTAAAATTTAGTAAGAATTTACAAGTTCCCAAAAGCACAAACAGGGCAAACCACTTTAAAAGTCTTCGGGCATTTCATATGACTGCAAATTCATGAGCCCTAAGTGACTTTTCCCTAATTCCTAAGAGTCTATGATTTCATAAACATTAATAGTACTTAACGACTGTAGCAAGCAGCAACAGCCACAATGAAAAATATAAACAAATCAAAAGGTCATTGCATCTTTTAACTAGTTCTAAGTACATTAAGGTTTTAAAGTCCTAATATTTCCAAACACCATTCCAATAACATTGCAATTGCGTCAAAACACCCATACGAAGACTGTTTCCCTAAGCATATGTTACCCCAACATACGTTACACTAAAATGATCAGAAACAATTGACATGGTGCCAAGAATATAAGAGTCATATGAAAAATTCACTTTATTTTCTGGGAGCTGCCTCAGTTTCCCTTCCTGCTAAATAGGGGTGGATAATACTTGCCAACACTGCTGGAGAGGTGGAGAGGATCAGAAAGAGCAACAAATCAATCTTTGCCAAGCCCTTTGGCGTAATTCCTGGGAGTGAAATGCTCGAGTACCGTGATCGTCTTGTTAAAGACAATTCTTATGGCAGAGTAAGAGGTTCATGACTCGCCACCCAAGCTCCCCATGAACTGCTCTCTGGCTCCTTAGGAGAGTGTGGGTGCTCACCACCATACCTGGGGTGCAGGACCTGCCCTGGGCACTGTGGCCTTCAGTAATTCTTTCCTGAAGCCAAAGAACACAGAGGATCCGCCCTGAAATCTGACGGGTAGGAAGCTCTCAGAAAGGAAACGGAGGCTTCTGGTTGGTAAAGCTGGAAGGAGCACAGACCTGTCAGGTCCCAGCTGGGGGCGCTGTCATTTGTTCACATTGAAGATGCCCAGAAGGCCGCCTGGGAAGAGAGCCCATTGAGGCAGCTGGGAGAGGGAGTCCTCATAGTCAACACAGGGCTTGACTTCAAGGGCATAGATTGGATTCAACCAAGACCACAGACAATGAGATCATCTGCTTTTATTGTTCCCTCCCTCATTCTGCTACTACTTGGGGGGAACATTCTTGAATTGTAGGGATTTATTGTGAAGTTTTCTGTCCATAAAGAGCGCTCCGGCTTTTCTACTTCTCATTTCCTGTTCTAACGTGGAGGGTTGCCTGTTGTTTCATTCACTTTGGGACATTTTTAACTAATGCATCTTCAGTACCTGAGTTAAAGATCCTCTAGAAACTTACCCTGAGACTAACATGCCCAGCTGTGTGCCTCTGATGGTGTGAGGGGCTTCACCAGGACAAAAGGACAAATAGGCCTGTGATGTTCCTCCCCCGCCTCAGCCTCTAGCCCTGTGGTCTGCCAGCAACTTTTATGGCACACCAATTCCATCCTTCCCCCCAAAGTGTTTATAACTTCCTCTGAGGGGCATTTGACACATATAGTCTTGATTAAAGACTATTATATAACATGCCAAATTAAAATATCCATGTCACAAGGGTGTTTTTTTTTTTTCTGGCTAGAGTTAGTAGCATGCCTATTTACACAGACCAAACAAGACGCAGCCTTGTTTTTCTCATTTTATTATAGGAACCAAGGTAAATGTGCATCGTCCCCTTTCCCTGTCTTTGTGCACAGGAACCAAATCAAAATCTTTGCAATGAACTCTGATAGAAGAAAAAGGTTATACAAATGCAAGAAACATTGCCGTTTCCAGAGTTTCTTGTTTTGTTTTCCCAAACAAACAAAAGGATACAGTTTTCCTTATGACTGAACAATAAATATATTTCAGGATCTGAGTTCCTCTCGATGACTTGTGTGGAGGAAATGATTCTATGGATTGAGGCAATTTTCCTGTAGCCCATTCTTTCTGAATAGCTGAGCCATTTAAGATGCGTATGTTGATCTTGTTTGCCTGAGTTGATCAAAGATCCCTCTTTGTGACTGCAAAATTATGTAACACTGCATTGTATTCTGTTTTATTTCAGCAGGACAAATGTTTGGCTTCCTTTCAGAAGATAAACAATCAAGATTTGCATTCTTAAACAACTGGTTTGGGGTAAATCATAAAAGAGTATGAAATACTGAATAGTTAAAAACTTAAAAATCTTGAGTTCACAGAGTCGAATAAAAGTTTTCATTCTCATCGCCACCTGCGAAACATGTTCTTTGTTCTTTACTCATAGTTGCAAAGTTCAGAAAACAAGAAGTTGGCAGCAGTAGATAAATAGCATTATTTCGGCACCCCCGGGAAAACACCCGCACAGTCCACTGCCCCTTCCTGTTAGTGAGAGGGTTCTGGAAGCCTTGCTACCTCCTCAGGAGAGGAAACAGGTCACAGAGGAAAGAATGCAGTTTGGGAGGAGACGGATGAAAAGCAAGGTCCCCCGAACCTGGGTGGTCTCGGGTCCATTGCGTAGCTGCACTGAGCCTCCCTGTCTTCGCACAGCCCTGTGTCAGCGCCCCTCGGGTTCAACCTTGGCCTGTGGTGCTGAAAACCCTGACACAGGGCTGCCCTTGGTGCAGCGTCAAGGACAGGGAAAAGCAAGGAGCACCAGCCGTTCGTGGATTACGTCTTAGAGAAGCCTCAAGAACTCAAAACAAAAGCGAGGCCAGAAAATGATTTTGTCCATTCTGATAAAAAAGTTAAGAATCTCTGCTTAAAGGAGCAACATATTAAAATGTAAACTAACTGTGAAATTTATTCCTAGCTTTCTGGCATGATTTCCCTTCTATTCTTGCTGGTCAAAATTTTATAAGTATTTGCAAATGACCTGAAGGGTTTACACTCGCGTGTGTTCGTGCGGGGTTCAGGAAGACAGACGGGGAGGAAGGGAGAGATGAAGAACACAATAAAGGGAGGCTGATGCCTGACACTCAGATGAATGCAAACGCAGTTACAAAATGTAGTCTGAAGGCTCAACAGAATCAAGTGCTGTCCATCTAGCAATCCTAGTACCTTTTACAAGTAGATTCTCTTTCCTGTTTGCTCTCTCTCGCTCCCTCACTCTCGGGCAAGCTCTCTCCCTTTTCCCCAGAGAACTACGAATACAAATTGACATGGGTTTGTCACAGCCATAGAGCAAATCATCAGCTCACAGTCTGGTCACTTGAACACCTACTTTCTGCTGTGGTTTCTCTGTCTACATACATTTAGAAATAACAACGTGGAAAACTTACCTTTGTTCTGTTCACAGAGAAAACAACTTCATTTGATTTCTTGGAGTAGACATTATGCTAAAGGAACTGGCTGAAAGCTGTGAAGTCCTATGGAAATACCTGCTGCCGTGTCTACCTGTGTCGCCTCGATGCTCTGGCCGGGGGATGGACAGCTGGACGGAGAGCAGCCCCCATCGGGTGATTTTGGCCTGTTCTCTGAGTGTGTTCTTCCAACCAAATCCTGCCTCTGTGCTCTCAACCCTTACATCCCCACCTTCCTCTGCTAACTCCAGTTTCCTCTTCCTTTAAACCAATTTGAAATTTCAATCTCAACCTCGTTCTTACACAATGCACACTTCTCCCTGCCCTGGGGGTGACCCACTGGAACAAAATTTTGTACAGTCAGCGACAAAGACCTTCTTTAGTCAATGAAATGGAACTAAAAACCGTGTAGACGTAACAAATTCAGGAGCATTTCTAGGTGTTAAATGTGGTTGTTTATTAATTTGTCTTAAATTACAGAACTAATGCGTATTTTTAAAAACTAAAAATACAAACACATATAAAGTAAAAAGTGAATATCCTTTACAGTTCATACTACTAATAAAATCATTTTGAAAATTTCCTTTCACTAGACAGTATAATTTCTGTTGGTGGATACCAGCCAAATATGAATCACAGACAAGTCATCATCTATTCCATTCAGCTGCAAGGTTTAAGGGGCAGGGTAACGGGAACGATCTTCTAGAGGAAACCAGTTAGTGTTTATACATTTAAAATATGATTTCTAAATTGCTTAAGCATATCTATCAAAATCTAAACAGAACATTTAAAATTGGCATCACATAAAAGTGATACTCTGTGAAATGATTTCTGAACTGTGAAAATTTGTCTTTCAGACCGAGCATCTTCGAGCATGGAAACTGGATAGGTTGCTATATGGGAAGAGCCACCGATTTTCTCCGTAAGTTCGTACTTGATTCATACGGGTATATTCCAAGGAACATATGATCCAGGTTTGTCCCTTGGAATCTAGAATAAAAGGACAAATTTATGTTTGCATTTGGAAAATGTTTGTGACAGGTGAAAGACAGCAGAGCATTAAAATGGGATAAAAACCACCCCGAGGGTGACCAGGACAATGAGAGATTTGGCAGAGGCGGCATGGGAAGTGTGGAGGAATCCGGGGAGGACTGAGGGTCGGGGGGACGGAGCAGCTCAGAGCCATCCCATCCTGAAGAGGGACAAACGGAAAGTGGAATCAGTCTGGGTTTCTCCAGGGAGAAGAGGTGCCTCACGGGGTTAGGAAAAGCTATAAGGGGTGCCACAAAGAGCCAGCAGGAGAGGAGGTGTGGGGGGCTCTCCCCTCAGTGTAGGAATAAACAAGGAATAGCTTGTTTAGAGTCAGAGAGGTTACTGGGAATGACATGAATTCCTCCCACAATTAAAAATCCCGTCACTGAGAATGACCAAGGAGAGCTGAGATGTTTGCCCGGCAGGCGTGTGGATGTAGCTGGGAATCCTGCTACCGGGGGCTGGGAAAAGGCCCTTTGAGTGTGTGCAGCTCAAATCAGGACTCGCACACTGTCAGTGCCTGGTTGGGTGGACTGAGATAGACCATTGGAGTGGCCCATATTTTTGGCCTGGGTGTCTTAGGCTCAGGGCACAGTTCCTGAACTTTTATTCTGGACCAATGTGTCCTGGGAAGAAAACAAAACAAGGGAGGAACATATAACTGATGATAAAAAAATAAACCTTCTTTTCTCGAGTGGTACAGAGCTGAGCCCCACTGCAGGCCAGGCTGGTGGAAAAATGCAACTCAAGGGCCACTCTGCTCTTCTCCTGCTCAAGTGCCCTTGGCATTCTGGTCACCTTTTCTTCCACAGAAAGCCACCATGGTGGGTTAATAAAACTTGACCACAAGACGGGAGAAAAATTCAGAATTTAATGAGCAGAGCATACCATTTTTGTGAACTTATCTTCACAGCCCATTCTAATTTTCTCTGGGGTGAGTGGACTACTGAGCTTCAATGGTCCAGACAGGCCTCTCTCCTGTCGCGCTGCATTCACTGCGTCACGGATGGCAAAAAACACCGAGCACCCCAGGAATAGGCTAGGCTCTCCCAGACCCTTGAGGGAAACAAGTTAACTAGATTATGACACTTTCTCTCTGTATATATACGTATATATATGTATATGAGCATCTATAGGTACATATGCATATGTATAAAATATTAACTATGTAAATTATATATATAACTTTTTCCTTTAAAAAAGCAATTTACTATTTAAACCCAATATTTCCATTCTTAGGATTCCAGTCTAAGGAAATGAGCCGAAATGGAGAAAGGAGATACAGGCATGAAGATGATTACCACAAGGTAAAAAATCAGATGCAACCTGATGGCAACAGTAGTTGGTGCTAGTGTCCAAGACTTAGAGTATTTGTTAAAGTTTATAATGTTGTTAAATTATTTTATAATTAAAATGTAAATAAGGCGTTTTCTTCTACAATCCTGGTAAAAACCCCAAAGAACCAAGAGAGGAATGTAGTCCTTCCATCCCTGCAAGAGTATCTCATACACATGTGTTTATTCACAAAGTATAGCTTACCTTAGATGAATACAGGGTATTTGAGTCTTGAGACGGAGGCAATAAAGAAACGTGAAATTCTGCAGGGATGTCACAGACGGTGGGGATTTTGTATTGGTCTGGACCCCGAGTGTACAGGACACCCTGAGGAGAATATTTCAGTTCTTCGATTGTATAAAGTCCCATGCCTTGAATAAATGCACCTTCAATCTGAGGCAAAACAAAAAACAAAATTTAGAATTTCCATGTATGAGAAAATATAGTCAACAGGAGCCTTTCAATGTCATGCTGTTTATCTGGATTTTTAAAACACAGTGTAGAAGGGTTTTCAGCATGTCTTGGGGAATGTCTCTGAAAGTTTACTTAAAAGCTTATCTAAAAGCATTTCTAAACATCTTACAAGCACTAAATTCCAAATTAAAGGCCTTGAGTTCAAATCTCAGCTTGACGTTAGAATGCCAAGGGCTCTAGAAGAGACCTCGGAAAGCCTCTCTCTCACTGCTGTGTCCACAGACCCCAGCTCCCTAGGAAAGGCTCTCGGGGCTCTAGAACCAATAATCTCCTGCTAACGTCCTTGCTCACGAGCTGGCCGGCTTCACATTTCTGGACTGTTTCCTCTCTTGTAACATAAAGGGTTTGAGCTGTGTTCTCTACGCTTGATGAACAGCTTTGAAATGCTCCAGTTCTTAGATGTGCTAGGCATTTGAATATTTATATAAAACAGCATGTGATTTTTCAATCTTGTCAATTACTTCAAATTTAAATAAAAATGTCTGTGGGCAAAATAGGCTGCCTATCTATCACTACTGCTACAGTTATTTGATGTTTGTTATCCCAGCCCAGCTTCAAACTCCTCGAAGCCGAAGGCCGTGGGATGCCTGCGCCGAGGCTCAGCGCTTAGCACTGCATTTCACCTCCGTCCCGGGCGCGTGGGGCTCACTCTGTCCCCTCGGGGCTCAGTCCCTCTCATTCAAGCTCCCCAGTCCCAGGCTGCCCATTTCTTCAAACACTACCTAAAACACCTCTGTTTCCTCCCCCTTTTTAAATAGTAAGAGATGTGAGTTCTGTGGCTGGTCTGAATAAAAAGATTCTGACAACAGGGATAGAAAAGTAAGAGGATGATGAAGTTAGACGCAGTGTTTTCCCGGAAGATCCCCATAGCAGTTTGGTTTTTACAGCTAGGCAGTGAGGCAAGTCCGTTACACATACCTGGCCTATGTCAACGGCGGGGTTTACACTGCAGCCAACATCCATGACAATGTCTGTTCTGATGATCTAGTAATAAAAAAAGTTAAAATGTTTACTGTGATGAACGCAACCGAGGGAGGGAAAGCTGAGGAATGGTTCCTGCTGGGATGGCGTCGATATACAACCTTTCTTTGGGCCACATTCTATTTCAGCAGAAAGAAGTGGTATGATATTTTTTATGTCGCCAAGTTTATTATGTATAAATTTCAGAGTTACACAAATACTCTTAACCAGCTTAAACACTGACTGTTTTTATTGGAAACAATAGGAGAGGAAAATATTGACTTGGCTTGGATTCCAGCTGAGTGACGTAGTATACTGAGTTGAATCCACTACAATAGACATGAGATACAACACAGAAAACATCTACGGCACTCATGATCCTCGTTGCGAAACTTTGTGGCAAACACGCAACCCAATGTCCAGAGTCCAACTGGCAGCTTGATGTTTCCTGAGTCAGGAACTCAGGGTACATCAGCAAAAAAAATATTTCAATCATTATCTGCTGTTCTCGATTTTTCTTTAATATTTTTATTGATTTCAGAGGGAGGAAGGGAGAGAGAGGGAGAGAGAGATAGAAACAATGATGAGAGTCACTGACTGGCTGCCTCTTGCAGGCCCCCCACTGGGGATCTACACCACAACCCCAGCATGTGCCCTGACTGGGAATCAAACTGCGATCTCCTGGATCATAGGTTGATGCTCAACCACTGAGCCATGCCGGCTGGGCTCAATTTTTCATTTTTAGAGCCGAAGAGAAAATAAATCTAACATTGAAACTCGGTGACTAAAAATTCTTATGAAAATTAGTGATCCAGAATGTTCTACTACAATGAAACTTCAGGTATTCACCTCTCTTATTTAAAGACATGAAATCTAAAGTTCTCTTTGACACTAGTTGGTAAGACTGGCCTTCTGTGAGACAAGTGGCCTCCACTGGAGGGGAGGGGAGGTGCTCTCAAGTCTGCAGTGTCAGTGAAGGTTTTGCTTTCCAAGCTGTGGACTTAAAACTGCTTCTCATTGTCTTTTTTTTTTTAAGTATATCTTTATTGATTTCAGAGAGAGGAAAGGAGAGGGAGAGAGAGAGAGATAAAAACATCAATGATGAGAGTCATTGATCGAGCCCGCGACCCGGGCATGTGCCCTGACCGGGAATCGAACCCCGATCGCCTGGATCCCAGGTGGACGCTCAACCACTGAGCCACGCCCGGCCGGACCTCTCATTGTCTTCTGATAGGGCTGGAGAGTGGCTTTAGGTTGTGGTTGCCAACCTCCAAGGTGGCCTTCAATGATCCCACATCCTGGTATCATAAGGATGAAGCTTTACGTAGTCCCTTCCTACACTTTACCAGGATTGGTTTATGTGACCAGTAGGATATGGCAGAAGTAACAGTATGTCACCCCAATATTAGTTATAAAACTGTCTTGTTAGCAGATTATGGATGCTTATGAAATCCTTCAAGAGTGTCACATGATGGCACGTCACAAAAGCGGTCACCATTGCCAGTTGTCCCAGCTGTCTACATGGAAGCCCCTTAGGCTGTGTTTCTTCCTTGAAGTGGTTTTTTCCCTTGTTCTATTTAAAAGGACCAGGGAAACAAAGAAGAGAGGCCACTGGTTGTTTTCCATGGAAGCAACCATAGCACCAAGGCAATTGCTGAGCTTCTATTTTCTTCTGGTAACACAGCGAAATTATCTTTAGGCCAAATACATGGTGCTTCCGTGGTGCTGGATGGATGGGATATATGGAGCTGAGGTGCATCCAGGGTGCAGCCTGAAGACCTCCCAGGGGTACTGACCTTATGAGCTCCCGTCAGGCAGTCTATTTCAACCTCGGAACAGGCGGCTCCGCAAACAAAGTATTCGAAAGGATGGCCTTCGCCCGTCTCCCAGTTCATGTGTGACTCATAACCCCTGGAAAAAGAGAATTGAGGAGCGTGTTATTGGGGGCACTGCAAACCCGGGGAGTAGACCTGTACAGCAATGTGCCAGCACACAGTGCATGCGATAAATGTGTTGAATACATCAGTATTTCCTTCCTTCTTATTAAACTTGTTTTGCCTGATACAAATGTCCAGTTGCTCCCTACCAATGACTCCTTATGCCTAGAAGTTAACTGCTGACAGTAGGATTATCCACCCTATTGCTTTGGGCTAATATTGGCTCATATAACCCTATTGTAATCAGATTGGGGAATTCCACCCACTTTTTACACAAAATGCTACTTCAAAGGTTCACACTGACCTGTTTATTTGTCTTTCTGACTCCAGGGTTCAGCCTCCTGGGTGAGGGATCAGGCCCCTAGGCTACCTCTCTCCTGCCTTGAGACTCAGACCTCCCACCATCAACTCATCTTTAAAGACACCAAATGTATGTCATTTAAGCAACAGCCGGCAGCTTGCAGCACTTTCTACCCTTTTCTCCTCTGCGCCCCCAGCCTGGAGGTGGCCATTAAAAATGCTCCCAGTACTTATTCCTGATAGTCTGCCAGTGCCCTGGGACGCCCATTACAACTGGCAAAGCGCCTAAATCAGGCCAGCCTCTCTGTAGCACCCTGCTCTCTGATGGCTTTCACTCTCCATTTAAATAAGCAGATAAATTATTTTCCAAAGCATGTGAGTTCCAGTTGTTCCACATCTTGATAACACATAGTTATTGTCAAATTTCTGATCTTTTGCCAATCAGGAAAGTGTAAGTGATGTTTATCTTATTATGGGTTTGATTTTTTTACTTTTGTTTCTTAACTTAAGGGATACATTGAGTTTTCAACAAAGGTCAGCCACTGCTGTGGGTTCCTGTTAGCACCCGGCACTAGCCCCAGAGAACCCTCTAGAGCTATGCAGTATGATCCGAATCATCAATTCTGCTGTATTTTATTTTCATGCTTATTTTTCCCAACAACAGCCTTTCTGCACATTTGGATTAACAGCAGTGAAATGTTCTTTATAACAGTAGGTCACTAGAAGGTACAAAATCAGTTGGTGCCAAAACTGCAAACAGAAGTGAAACTCTTCCTCCAGATGCTACTGCTACTCGCCACAGCATGAGACAGGAGGGGCTGTTTACCTGAAGTATCCCGTAGCCGAGAGACTAATGCTTTCATTAAAAGCAGCCTGTGCCTGTGAAAGAAGGGTGTCACAACACAGTAAGGATGTTTAAAGTAAGAGTCACTTGAAATTTCAATTTTAACTTTAGTATGTGTTAAATAAAGTTATCGGTGGTAATAACTAGGAATAACCAACATTAGTTTATTCCTTTCAGCACTCTCCATCTCCACAGGCATTTGTGGTTCACTGCCTGTGGTCACAGCCCTTGTTCAATGCATTTCACTGTAGTAAACGATGCCTTGGTATGTTACACTTACAGCCTGGACTGTGCTGGGCAGCACATGTTCTGCTTATAAAGACTTTCGCTCGGTCATCTGGAAAGACTAAGCCTATTAACACGGAACATTTCAGGAAACAATGGGCGGTTGGATGTTTAATTTTAACATCATATATCTATAACAGTCCTAGGAGAGGGGTAATATTTTTGCTAAATTGTACCATTTAAAGCATAAGTTCTCCTGACTTTGCAGTGCACACAGTTGACTAATAGATGGAAAAATGGGGGTTGGATCCAAGTCCTCAAGCCTGAGAAAGAAAACATGAGAAGTGCAACCATTACAGAAGAAAGTGGACTGAATGGCAGCATTTCACGACGGTGGAGCTGATCCTCTGTTACTGCACCTCACCCCAGTGAGGTGGTGCTTCTCCAGCCAGACTTCTCAGCCTTCCTGGGCCCAGGCAGCACAGGCAAGAGAGCAGAAATAAATATGCCCTGAAAGGGCTGACAGCTCCCATAAATATGAATTATAGAATGAGTCTTAGCTCTATGGAATGGAAGGAACCATTTCTAAGTAATACTTCCCAACTGTTATTTCCTCCGGACCAGCACCCGTAATGTGACATTCTAGAACAGTCACCGTGGCACACACTCCAGCCTTTACTGATGTCCATTCCACAGCAGCTGGTGCTTTAGAACCTAGCACTCTGAAAAATTTCCTAGTTGACTTTAGAATGGGTGTTTTCTCTTCCAACTACATCCTAAGTAGATCAAAGGAAGCAGTTGAATATTTCCATTCCATTTCAACTATTGATTGAATATACACCCAATGACTTGCTTTCCTATTTTTAAATAAGTATTTACATGTTTTATAGAAGGAGACATGGGAAGTGTTTTCTTCCCATTTTAGGAACAGTGGAACCCAAAGAAGGAGAAATACACAGATTTACAGCTATTATCTAGAAAATACCTAGGTTCCATAGCAAGAAACATTAATTAGTTCTTGCTGAAAATAAGGGTTCTGATAGGGAGTACATTGTAATAACATTGTAATAACTATGTATGGTGTCAGGCGGGTACTAGATTTATCTGTGTAATCACTTTGTAAGTTATATAATTGTCAATTCACTATGTTGTAAGAAAAGTTTATACTATATGATTTCATTTTTATGAAATTGTAGACAAAGCAAATTGATCTCCAGTGACAGAAAGCAGATTGGTATGTTTGGGGATGGCGGGGTGGGCGTGGGAGTGAGGGAGAAGTGGGATGGACTATAAAGGAACACTAGGAATCTTTTGGGGATGATGGATGTGTTCATTACCTTAACTCTAATGATGGTTGCATATATGCATACATATATCAAAACATCAAATTGCACACTTTATGTATAGTTCATTGCATGTCAATTAGACCTCAGTAAAGATATTTAAAATAAAAAAGAATAAAACATTTTAAAAGAGCTCCAGACAGACAAGCCATCCTCTCTAACAGAGGACTTTCCCGGGTGTTAGAGCTCTGCCATCATGTCGTGTGATAGGATTTCTACCTGCCGAGAGCCAGAGGGCCTCTACTTCTCCCTAGGTGACTGTAGCACCTGTTAAAGTGCTCTTCCTACTGCTATTCAGTTCACATGTATCTCTTTCATGTCCCCCCCTCTTTTTTTCTAACATAAAACACAAAGTGATTCTCACCCAGTCCTTCCAAGTGCCTCGAGGATTCTTGCTGATGATGGGTTCCAGGCGCTTTAGGAGAGTTTGACAAGCATCCTAGGGATTATTTTTTAGTTAAAATTATGATTATAACTTCATGCAAACACTGATACCAAAACCGCATGATATGTGCCATTATGGGCTTATTTAAGAGGCCCAAGGAACATAGAGAAGGAAGAGACCGATCCCATAAGAGGTGACCCAACAGGTTCCACGGGGGTGCGTTGAAGTGCAACTGCCCAGAATGGGGGCCACGCGAAAGGGTCAGGACTTAACAGAAAAACTGTTGGCAAACCACCAGCCACTGTTTTTAAACACAGCATGGTCAGATTTACTTCATGGGAAACTCACTCTGGCAGCATGAGACCAGAGTGAAAGGCAATGAAACTGGGTGGAGAGAGAGCCTGCACTGCCCCTGGCAGGAGCTGCAAGTCCGAACAGTGTAGCCCTGTCATCAGAACATGGCAGCAGAAATGTCTCTTTCCACGGAGGAATTTTAGCATAGAATCAAAAGGACTTGTTGCCCAGTGAGATGTCAGGAGTGAGCGAGAAGAAGAGGTGACATGCCCAGCTCAGGAGAGCGCCGGGTGCCATCCCACTTAGAGCGGTGGAAGGGCAGCTTCCACTGAGAGGGTGTGGGAAGGACATAAGAGCTGGGTTAATTCTCAACATCCTCGGAGTGCCACCACGTGTTGGTCCTGATGGGCTTAATGATTTGGACGCCACTGCAATGATTCTTACCTTTACTGCCATCCCATTGAGGTCTGCCACCAAAGAACCTCCAGACACATTTGTGTTGGGGACAGTTTCTGTGCTTGTTCCGCGCAGGTGGACATTGGACAGTGGCATCCTTAATTCATGACTGGCTACCTGGATTTTAGAAGAGAGGTGTTTTTTGTTTTCCAAATAGTTTGGTTAGTCACAGACCCGTGCATGTGCCCACGTGGTAGCACCTGTGTGAAGCCCTGATGTGCCCAATGGGGACTAGCAGGCAGAACCACAAATTCTTCCAGCCGCAAAAAGTTCCTCTTCATGAAAACACTTAGCCAATCTGGACCCCAAGCCCCAAGCACATTTTTTTTCACTGTCTTATGTGCAACAGCATCAGGAAGAGAAAGCAAGGCCCACGCCAAGGAAGAAGTACTTTATGTCTTTGTCACCATGAAGTCAATACCTTTGAGGCCTCTCCTATGGTGCACTCGGCAATATTCTAGAAAAACTGACCTTAGAAAGGAGAGCCTTACCCACATTTCTGGAGCTGCTGCAGGAAGAGGGTAGTTCTGAGAAAGAACACGGCCTCATTACAGCAGCAGGACCAGCGCGATCTCAGAAGGAGATGGGCTGGTGCCCTGGCCAACAAGGGACTTGGTTGGTGGCTTTGTTCCTCCTTTGGTTTTAGTGCTGGGGGGCAAAACCATATTACTAACTTCAGCTCATCCAAAATCCTCCCCTTTTTTGCAAGCAGTAGAGCTTGCTAGAATTTGTTCATAGCTGTGACAAGGACATCATATGGAGTCCTTCTATACCACTGACTTTCAGAAAATCATCTACACAAAACGCATAAGCTTAGACCTAAAGGTCTAGTGGCCCAATAAAGAAAACACTGAGGTCTCACCCCCAAGTGAGCAAAGATATGGCTAGATAATTCTCAAGTGACTGATAACATGAAAGAAAAATATATCNCCTAAAGGTCTAGTGGCCCAATAAAGAAAACACTGAGGTCTCACCCCCAAATGAGCAAAGATATGACTAGATAATTCTCAAGTGATGATAACATGAAAGAAAAATATATTCTACATCTCTCTAATCAGAAAAATGCAAATTAAAGCAATAATGTGATATGATCATTCACCTGTCGATTTATCTAAGATTTTTAAACAACCCATAACATACAGTGTTGGTTAGTGGTGTAATGAGATGGCTACTTTCTGGAAAACAATTTAGTAATATGTGTCAAATGATTTAAGATACACTCTGTGACCAGTAATTCCATTTCTGAGAATTTATTCTAAGAAAATACCCATTGATTTGATCACAGGTTTATGTAAAAATATTCATTGAAATGTTCAACAATCGGGGAAGGTTAAATAAATTTCATATGCATCCCCATGCAGCCATTGCAAGTCATGAGTGCAAAGAATTTTTAATAACAGGAAGAAGGGCTCACTCTGTGGAAGGACAGGTGAAAAAACCAGGATACAACATTCAATAAACAGCATGTTGGTGATTTTTGGAAAAAGAAAAAAAAAGCCAAGATGGGAAATAACCCAAAGCAGTGATTATTGCTAATGATGGAATTGTGTAAGGTCTTCTAAAAAAGATTTATTTGCCTCTTACAAATGTTTCATAACCTGTATTATAGAAACAGTACCTAAAAATTAATCTAAAGTGAATGAGCCAAGAGAAAACTGGTAAAGTTTGATTAGAAATACCAAATGTGATTTATATTATCAATTGTTTAGAGTCTTTACTATAAAAAAAAGCCAGAAATAATGCAGTACATCAGAATTTACATTTTTATTGCCCAGCAAGGTTTAAAATAGACAACTCACTTGTTCATATATCCAAAAGAAAGTGGCAAATAACCACATAGACTTGTTTAGCAATAAGACAAGCTGAGACTCTTCTGCCACATTCTTTTAAGAGGGTCAGTTACAAACTGGCTTGTTTACCCAGTTTCTGCTAATAGCTTAACAGTTTAAGTGGTCAAAGCTAGTTTCCTCTCCTTTTTATGTTGGAACAGAGTTTCTCTCTCATGCACATATCTATAAGCACACATCCAACTTCACCCAATTATTTGCATTCTTACCTGAATCATTTTAGTGTGAACCCCCTGCCCCATTTCAATTCCACCGTGAGTCACCAGCACAGACCCATCTAGATAGACGTGAACCAGGGCAGCAGCCTACGCAAAAAAGATACAGTTTCCATGACCTTTTTGACTCATATCATCATATGTCTTGTCAATTAAAACATTTTCCCTGGGAATGATCCCCTCCCTTCCATCTCCTGCCAAAATATACACACTTTTCCCATCACCCTGAGAGCACTGAACAAAGCCAGGGCAATGCTCGGGCACCTCATGATCACCCACAGGAGGCCAGATAGTTGCTGGACAGCTTTGAGTCTGGGGCAGGACTATGCTCCTTGAGCTGCGATTTCCTCTTTGGGGCATTTGAGCTTACTGGTACTTTTCAAGGATCCCTGACATGGGTGGAGCAACAATTTAGGTTTGGGTTTGTTTCAAGGAGGTGGGGAGTCAGTTTTAAGATGCAAAGTTAACTGTAGATAGTTTGAGGAACAGGGAGAAGAATTATTTATGTGAACATAGAGTCTCACAGTTGTAGGTTGTTATAGATAAGCAAAAATGAAAATCCATGTAAGATGAAACAGACATTACTTTTTTCATTGCAAAGAGAGCTAAGCCCACTCTAATGCACCTTGGCACAGAATTACAGAGCTTTAGTTAAAAGAGAACTTGGAAGAAATCTTATCTAATGGTACAGCTTGCCATAGGGATCCAGAAGGAACCAAACTGCTAACAGAATTAAAGCCTGCTGCAATCAGAAACATCCAAAATCAAAGCTAAACATGTTTTACAATTAACAAGAATATGCCATCTTGCAAGTCTGCTCATGCTAAAACCAGGGGTTGTGGAGATATCTCAGGAAACTGTGGAAAACAAGGTGTCTTCTCTTCACTTTGGGGCCTCCAGTTTAAGAGCAATATTAAGAGCATACAGTCTTAAGAAAAAGCTCCTAGTGCTGTGGCTCAGGAATGCCTGCAAGGTAAACCTTTGTAGCTGCTCTGCTGGGAAGTACCAACCCCATGGGTGTGGTCTGGAGCTTCCAGGGGTCACTTAAAGCTCTATTAGTTGGGTTTTTTAACGTCTGATCTTCCATCCAGAATGGCATTAATTATCTAGGATTTGTAAGAGTCTTCAGGAAATTCTAGTAACAAGCTAACTTCCATTTAATAAAGCTAAAATCTTAGTAAGCCTTTATGACTCACTGAGATAACTTATAAACAACCCTGGTCATAAACCAAAGTCAATGGACTGCATGTCAATCAGCAGATGCATCCCAGGGAAAGGACTGTATTCCTGGATTGATTCTCTGCCCACTAGAAGGACCTCCATAGCCACATGTGGGCCACAGGACACACTTGGAGAACTGCCTTTTTATTGATGTCCAAAAGTCCCCCTTACTCCAGCCAATGACAAGCAAAAGCTTCTGTCATTCCAAGTAAGACACTTTGATAGTGAAAATGGGCTCTATTTACCCGGTCCCAGGTGTAAACTAGGGATGTATTGGGAAAATAGGGACATGGGGATACCCTTTCTCCAAGGACAAAGGCACATACATTCACAGCCCAAGGGAGAATTTTAGAACCTTAAGAAAGCCATGTAGACATAATAATCACCCAAGGCTGTGTAGAAGAGTGTGTTTACTCTCTATTGACACTTCACTCCTAGAAACTCCTGCCTTGTGCTCCTGGCCATTTATTTTCAAAACAATAAAGGTAAGGAGTGGCATTCTCTCCAGAGAGCTCAGAGCTGGCTGCCCTGGGGTCATGCATCGGATGCCAGCTGATGCCAGCTGCAGTGGCTGCTCCTGGGCTCCATTCTTTGGCACTTTGTACTCTGCTAGAATGTGAGCCCTCAAAAGGAAGAACCAGTCCTAAGGCATCCCCTGGGAATGCAACATAGTATCTCACACCCAGTAAGTGCTCCATAAAAGTTTGATAAGTGAATTTGCCACAGCATAGCTTGTAGGCTCTGTGTTTGGTCTTCTTGGCTGAGCTAGCTTTTCAGAAGTTGAGACTGAAATTCACAGCTGACGCACGTGATTGAGTGACAGTTACAGTGGACTGTGCATTTCTTACATCGTGTGACCCTGCTGGGAGCGGCACTCTGCCCGCGTGTCTGGGGCAGCATTTCTATCAGCGACTGCTGAGCCATTTGTTCCATGAACTGCTGCAATCTCCTCGGGCTGTTTAAAATGTCAAATTTGATTCAGTTAAATGGCACCACCGGATGGTTCATTGTTAGCACCACAAAGGATAATTCCACAAAGCTTCATCTACTAAAGCGGCACAACTGGAATGTTAGAACAGATGGCCCTACAATATAAACTGGGGACTTAGTCTGTGAAATTTAAATCTTTGATCAACCACTGCTGGTATTGGTGAGAAGCTTGCCTTGGTCCCACAGATTCCCAAATCTCTCGTCCATGCAAACATTTGAGCTCCTACCCTGAGCCAGTTCTATCCTGGGACACTGGGAAGACAGAGGTAATCAGATACTGTGTCCTTCGGAGTTCACGGTTAGGAATGAAATATAATGAGGTGAGGTATGTTTGCCCCCTTAGCTGTTGGGAGCACAGGGGCCACTTCAGCTCAGGAAGGCGACATGGAATAATAAGGCACATGGGACCTGTGTCCGACAGTCCTGAAGTCAAATCCTTGCTCTGTCACTCACTAGCTGGATGTCCTTGGGCAAGAGAGCGAACCTCTATGGGCTTCAGATTCTAAAATAGAATCACACCTGCCCAACAGATAGGGGTTCAGTCAAGTGGGAAATTACAAACCATCCAGCCTAGGGCCTTATGCACAGGAGGTGCTCAAATATTTCCAGTTCCAGCCTCTCTTTGGTTTCCCTCAGGGTAGCCTCTCAGCACATGGCATCCAGGAGGCGGCCTGGCTGGTCTCAAATGCTTGGATTCAGCCCTGGGTGAGTGTTTCACACGGGGACACTGGTCAGTGTGAGGGAGGCTGGGAGGGCGTGGTGGCCGGGGGCAGCTTCGCGGTGGCCTTGAGAATGAAGTTGTACTGCTGGCTGCGGGCTGCTTTCTTCCCAGCTGAGCTGGATCCCACCTCGGTTCCCACCAAAGGGCCCGCGGAGGGGCAGCTCGGGGCAGCTGAGAAAGCACAGCTCTGGAGCCTCTCAGACCCCAGTTCTAGCCCCAGCCCCTCCTCTCACCCGCCCTGGGAGCTGGGCAAGTTCTCTAAGGTCTCTGAGCCTAAGATACCTTAGCTAAGGCTACGCATCTTACAGGTTGCCCTGAGGGTTGAACGTGGTAAAATCTAAAAGAACTCAGAAATCATTGTTATTTTTATTTAATCTACTTTTTGAGAAATTTCTGATGAGACTGACCTGGTCTACCGGAGGCCAGATGTTAAATAGCCACCAATAGATAGAGGCCGCAGCCACGTCTGCCGCAGCCTAAAGCCCAGGGATCTTCATAGAACCCGTATCCCACGGAGCCTGTTCCCCGTGATCCCAGCCCGCCTGCTCTAGCAGCACAGCCCAGCCGCCTCGCCAGCCGCCAGCCGCCAGCGCATCGGGGGCCCCAAGCTGCGCGCCAGGGCTCCCCGCCACCATCCCTGTCCTGGTGGTGCTTCCCCCTCCCCTTACTTTTGAATAACCTTGTTTTTGCCTTTATCCCTCAACCACAGCCTCTTCACTGGGTAAACTGGGTGCAGATGCCTGAACGACTGTGCTGTTATCATCACCAAAGCAGGCGAGAGGTGCGCGGCTGCAATAAGGTCACCGCTTGGACTGTTACATGGCTCCTAGGAGCTAATCCAGCTACAATAAAACGGCACGAAACACTCTAATGGTTACATGGAAGCTGAGCCGGATGGGCAGGTGAACGGTGACACGGGAATGAGGGAAGGACCTTCCCACCGCTCGCGGCCTCCTCTGCTCCCTCGATGCCCCTCCCAGCTCCACCCCCCTATCCCTGTCCTGTCACCACTCAGCTCACCTGCCACATCTTCACCATGAATTCTGCAAAGGGGAGTGACAATCGTTTTGAGGGGTCTGCCTCTTATCCACATATATGTACTTATAGGTACATATATATATATGTGTGTGTGTAAGAGCACAGATAACAGGGCCCCCCCATTGCTGCTGTGCAATGAGCTAGAAGAGAGCAGCCCTTCTCCAGCCGTTGGGTGTGAGTTCCTTTCAAGAACGGGGAGGTGGTAATAGCAAGTGGCGTGTGGCAACCAAGCAGGGACTTCATTTAATCGATCAAAAGGATTAAACTACGAGAATAGATTTTCAGTCTTCCCTTTTGCACTTTTAATGGCTATGAAGTGAACAAATTTCCAGGATTATGTTTTAAAAATTCTTTAAATGATTTCCTTTTCTGGGTTTAGTTAACCCCAACCCACCAAAAAGGGGAGGGCACCAAGTGCCTTGCAGCTTCCTGTTTCTATTTCAAGGTCCAGAGACACAGAATCATAGGGGAGTTGAAAGAGGAGTCTTGGCAGTCATCGGTTCCACCTTCTTACTTTATATTTGAGCAATCTGGGGCCCAGGGTGCATTGACTAAGCTGCTTAATGTCAGGGCCACGAGTAGAAATCGGGTCTCCCAATTTCCCAGGAGGGATGCTTGTCACTAACCCTGGGGACTCAGGCAAAGAAGCTCTCCTGTCTCCTCTAGAGAAAGGTTAGTTTGAGCACAACTTTGGTGAAGCTTAGCAATCAGGTATTGCAACCATATGGCTAATTCACCTTAATGGAAAGTTTCCCAGACACCTTTTGATTTGTCAGTTTGGAGAACTGACCTGACCAGCAGCTTGTGAGCCAAGGCCGACAGGAAACTTCAGGGGGACCATGGCCAGCCCTTTCTTCTTCCAGTAATTCTCCGAGTTGAATTTTTCCACGGCCGCTTTCCTCAGGGAGTAGGAAGACATGGCCATACATTCTTCCCAACACTGGGTCAGGTTCTTGGCATTAAACTCTTGTTTGTAGGGTGTTAGATCAATTTCCTTGTACATGTTTATCATTCGGACCTAAAAACAAAAGAAGGTGAAAGGGGGGTGGGGGAACTTGGCAGACAGACTCCTCTGTCCACTGTCCTCCCAGTCAAAATTTGCTCATCCTGTGAGTCCCAGACTGAGTTCAACGTACACCCCGTTGAAGCCTTTCCCAATGCACTACAGTCTCTTCTGCTCAGAGCCTCTAGCCAATGTGAGCACTTCCATGTTTTCTATGCTGCTCTAAGTTCAAGGGAAGGCACCCTTTCCGTATGTTTCTTATATAACTCAGCCCAGTGCAGGTACACCATGGACTCTTTATACTGGATGTATTTGTAAATAGCTATTGAAAGGTAATCCTGAATTTAATTTCCAGACTACAAGATCTACAAGGTTCAGATGATACAGATGCTGTGGCAAGATAAGGTCATGTACTTCCAAATGGGAAATAGGAAAGTTTGTTTAAATATAATCCATAACTAGGATGAAGTACAAATGAAAATATTCCATCCCAAGATGTCTGAAGCACTGAGTAGAATTCTTCCTGAATTCCCAGAATTGGAGACTAAGACCCACAGCTGAGAACAAAAGGTCAAGTACTTCACATTCTCAGTTGAGAACACTCTGCAGTTGAGGCCAGTCATCTCCTCAAGCTGACAGGGGCCATTACACACATACAGTCTCCCCATCCCCCTAAAAAAATTCCCAGATCCTTATAAAACGATGACTGGAAGTTAGTGAGCTGTGCCATTTCGGGCGAGGCAGTGTTTTGAAGGGTGGCCACTGTTTCCTCCAACTTCCCCGGAGATGAAGGAAGGTCATTATCTGATTTCCTTCTCTAGCGCTGGCCAGTGTGACAGAGCACCTGGGAGAGAGGCTGTGGTGAGATGGCCAGGAAGGGAGAGGCAGGGATCCCCTACAAGTTCAAGAGACCTGGAGAAGATGGCTCCTGCCTGTGGTCACAGATTCTCATGCTGGGGGGAAAAAGTTAGATGGACTGAGGACAGGGGCTTTCTAAGGACTGCCGCAGCATGGGCAAGAGGCGTGGGCATCAGGGGTGCTGCGTGAGGGGCCAGCTGAAGGGCAGGTGGGGTTAGATTCCCCCCAACAGAGGACTGTTGATTTTCAAAAGAACTGGCAGAGGCGGAGCTCAGAGACAACATGCTGGAGAAGTGGCTACATCGACCCAAGGAGAGGCCAGAGAGCTCGCTGGGAGAAGCCACATGGGGGGACGCTGCCTGCTTTCCCGGTCCTCCTCTTCCTCCCTGCGTCAACACGCAGCGGAAGGCACCGGGGAGAAGGGGTGAGGGAGCCCCCCAAGTCCCCCTGCCCCGACCCCACTCCAGGACGCTGGGTGGAGGGGGAGGAAGGAAGGAAGCAGAGCTTGTTAATGATGGAGTTGAGGCTGAGGCTTGAAGAGCTGAAAGGAGGCCACTGTAACGACTGAAGTGCCTGGAACTTGGTGACAGCTGCCTGAGATGCTAAGGAAGCAGGGGAAAGAAGGGTGTGACAGAGCTTGTCGGTAGCAGTTATGCCCCCAACCGATGGAGACTTCTCATTGAACAAGTTAGAATCCCATGCTCACTCTTCAATATCTTCTTGGCCCCAGGATTTCTTTTTTTACACTCTTGGTTAGAAAATGGTTGCAATAATACATCAGAAACATGATGTGTTTTAAAGGAGATTTCATTGTTGTACTAAAACGTCTGATAGAATTTTGGGCTTTATACCTGGAAGGTACAGTAGTGATCAACACTCTGAATTCCCCATTTTATAACCAAGAAAAATGAGGTGTATAGGAGTTATCTGTTTTGTTTTTAATTTTTATTTATTGCTGACAGTATTATAGATGTCTCTTCCCCTCCTCCCCCTTTGCCCTGTCCCCAGGATTTTTGAGGAGCAGCCTGAGTAAGACAAGGACCACGGAACGCTGGAGTCCCGGCTCTGCATTAACTAGAGAGTTGGGTTACCTGGGGCAAATCATTTAGCCCTATGCATCTCACATTCCTCAGCACGAATGATCCCCAGTGGCCCTCCCACCTCTAAAATTCGATATCTTTTGTACATGAGACTAATTTAGTGTTACCTTCTCAGGGGACAAACCACACTTGGTTGCCACTTCGGTGATGCAGGCTTCGGTGATCAGCCCTGCCTGCGGAAAGCCAAACCCACGCAAAGCCGTGTTGGATGGAAGGTTGGTTCTGCACACCCACCCTCGGCAACGCAGGTTGGGAAACTTGTAAGCATTATCCATCCTCAGAAGTCCAGTTTCTAACACCTGGGAAAATCCAGAGTTGATGTGATAAGACCCTTGTCCTTCTGCACCTATTTTACCATCCTGAGACCTCCAACCAAACCAGGCCAGAAACGACTGACCCCTCTCCATCACATCAAAAATGCTAAAATAGACCCATATCTCAATTTAAATGTATCTTTGCTATGAAATAATATTTAAGGATTTGAACAACTTTTCTTTTGAAATCATTTTTTATTTTGGGATTTTAGAGTGAATGCATTTTTTCTAGGTCTCAAACATTTCCAAAAGCCTGTGAAGCATTCATAGGCCTAACCACTGAATCTATAAAATGTAATGAATATAAATCATATCCTAGAAAAAAAATCTTTTGGCATTTGGTCTAATGCATTGGTTCTCAACTAGAGGCAATTTTGCCCTTTTTTACCCTGGGGCATTTGGCAATGACGAGACATTTTTGGTTGTTAAGACTGGAGGGTAGCTATGCCACTGAAATCTGCTGGATAGAGGCCAACAACGCTGCCAAACATCCTACAATGCACGGGACAGCCGCCACAACAAAAAATTATCCAGTGCAAAATGTCAGTAGAGTTGCAGTTGAAGTCTAATGCTTGCATCTGGGAAAAGGGCTGTAAGTATAGGAAACATGGCCAGACTTAGTCAAAATCTTTGGGTTCACTCTGGGGGCACCTGTAACATGTGGCTATCACCACAATGAAGGTCTTTATGCTTTCATTATTAGATATTATTTAGCTATTTAAAAAATTCAGAATTAAACCATTTTATGTAACACTTTTCAGAATGTAAACTTGCTCCTTAAAACACTTACGAGTAAGGATTCATCCAGGGAGAAGCCTCCGTTGCTATAATGCTGCATGTCTAGGGCCAGGATTCTGCCGTCATTCATGAACCCAACCTGGGGAAAGAGAATTGACCTTTGATATGAGTGCTGGGGGCCAAGACTCTCTAAGTGCTTTGTCACTTGTGAATCCTCTGTACATAGACAGAGAGCTTCATGACACTGGATTTGGTAATGACTTGAAGGTTTCTAGTAGAAAGAGCCAAGTTGGAAGGAGGAAACAATCTAGAAGGACAGTGTGATGAGTTTGTGTAAGTTTTGGGGAGGAAGTGACAACAGGTCATTTAAGTGGAAATGCCCTTCACTAATATGGGACTTTACTGAAAGGACTGGATTATAGCTACAGGAGTCATCAGCATAGCAGAGATTAAAAATAGGAGAAAACAATGTTTGCTAATGAAGGGTGGTGTGAGGAATCATTCTGTTTTTACCTCTTTTGTATGTGGGAATAGTGTGATTATCAGATCTGCTTTCATGGGCCTATCTACTCATATGTTTTCCAGTTATTGACTCGGTAGCAGCCAGTACCAGCTAGCACTTTTCACAAATTGTCATCCTTGAGCTGAGCGGAGAAGCTTCATTTTACCGGCCAGTAATCAAGCAATTGGCACAAGGAATAGAAAGTTAAACGGAAGTACAGTTTGTTGATTTGCTGATTGTTATTTCCTATCATGCAGTGGTGCCCTCTGCATTTATGGAGTGTTATATTTACAACATGAATCCTCCCCCTCCCTTCCTCTGCTCACTTTGTACTTTCCAAGGTAAGGGTGGCGGCCGGCAATTATTAACATGTCTTCTCCACGTTCCAGAATGCAGCGAACTGCACGACCATGTCTAAAAAAAGCAAAAGAGGCAAACTCTTTTACCAAGTAGGTATTATCTGGAGTTTATGTCATTCCTAGTGGCATCCACACATCTTACAGAACAAAAGAACTACTCCCTGAGCCCTGGCTGTGCTGATCTCAAGCAGACACAGCAGCCTCCCCTTTCTTTGGGTCAGGGCACAATAGCTGCCATTCACTACTTATGGGAGGGAGGCTTGTGGGTGCCAGAGGCTCTAGAGTATTGCTTTGGGAGCATTTCCCACTGTGATAACAACCTCTGCTATAGGCAAATAGTCCAAAGGCCACATTAGAGGCTGGTTACAAATGGAGGAGCTCAGGTGGTGTTGACTGCCAAGTGCTCCCAGATAGGACAGGCCTGGAATCAAGGTCTTTTTGTGTCATGGGACAGAGGAACTGACCTATGTTAGTGAGCAAAGAAACGAAGCCTTCTACCTGTTCAAAGACAATTTCCTATGGAAATATTTTGAGATTCTTGAAGAAAAATGGTAATATAAATAAACGTAAGTATAACAAAAGCAAAATCTCCATTTAAATCAAGGGAACACACACCCGCGTGCCCACACACACACAGGTGCTAAGTATAAGTAACCCCCATCCTTTCAGGACATGTTCCTGTTTACTCTCCAGGCAATTTAGTATTTCCACTGTGGTTTTTATTCTTTTCAGTAGTTAATTTTCCTTTTGGTGCTTATAGTATATAGCTTGACAATATAAGATAAAAAAGTTGTAATAATTGGTAGCTTGTTTATATACATGTATATTACATGTTATTTTAAATAATCTTGACCCAGATTCTTCCTCCTTAATTCTGATATTGCTAATATTCAGCATGACCTCATTTTATTTTTAGTCTCTTTAGCAGGTTTTCTCCACTTACTTGTTTGCTGCAAATGCAGTGATGGCAACCATGAAAGCAGTTTTAAACGCCTTCCCCCCGAATGACCCACCAACACGCTTTACATGACACATGACTTTGTTAGCTGGGAGCTTCAAGACTGAAGCAACTATGTCCTGTAAATGATAACAGTTCTCATTAATCTGACTCATCAGCAGCAAGGGAGCTGGGACAGTCCTTACACGTTTTGATTCTATAACGTTGTACATAATAAACAAACGGTGTGATTATACTAAATAACAGGACAATTTCCAATAACCTAGGCATGCATCCAGGCTGATCTCAGAGGTATTTGACTACAGTGATATCACCAAAACTGTCATTAATATTGAGTAGTCCTTTCGATAGCAACAAGGTATTTCTGGGCTAATAATTTTTCACAAATTTTCCCCATGAACTATGCCCAAAGTACAATTTTTACACTAATCTCTGGATATGCTTCCTGAAGCAGTGAGGTCCCAAACGTCTTTCAGATTGGGTCTTCCCCTGCACTCTGTTGTTCTCCACTGGAGAATGCACTCTTCTTACCTCCCATTTGGATTACTGCAACAATTTGCCAGTAGGTCTACCCTGGATGCAGGTCTTGCTTTTTTTTTTTTTAATCATCCTAATGTTTAGACGTCATTTAGTCTTCACAACTCATTTTTATAGATGGGGAGCCCAAAAGGGATGAAGTGATGGGCCCAACGTCACACAGGAAGAGAGGAGCAGAATAGGACTAGAATGGAGTTTGCCTGACCCTTCTCAGTGTTCCACCTTCTAAAGGCCTCATTCCTGTTCTCACATTCCTTCTCGCTCTGGTAACAACACTGCTCTTTATGACCTACAGAATCAGGACCCCTCTGCTTTGTTCCCCTTACTTTCACCTTGATGCTTAAACTAGCTACCTCTAAAGTGTCTCCTCCATTGCAGGTTGGGCAGTCCTTGTACTATCCCTCCTTTCTTACATGTGTGCTGCCTGGTTATAGGCAATAAGTGTTTGTAGAAGGGACAGATGAATGTATGAATGAATGAATGGATAAGCGAGTGAGTGAAATTGCTTCGAAATGGCAGCTCTTCTCACCATCTAGACAAAACTCATTCTCAGTTTAAATCCAAACTTAAGAATTCATCTTCATGGGACTTTCTGGATGATTCCAGCTCTTAGCGGCCCTCTGTTCTCTTAATTCTTCCATGTATGTAAATTAGCTGATTTACAGTAGGTTACATTCTCCTCACTACGGTTTCCTAGCTGCTTCATGTAAGTTGAGTATTATAGACTTTGGAGGGCAGGGCTTCCTCTTCTTTCCTTTTCATTCTTTTTTCCAGTTTTACTGAGAAATAGTTAACGTATATCACTGTATGTGATACAGTGTACAGCATGATCGTTTGATTTACATATATTGTAAAATGATTACCGCAGTAGGTTTAGTTAACATCATCTCATAGGTACAATAGAAAAAAATTCTCCTTGTGATGAGAACTCTTAGAATTTATTCTCTTAACAACTTTCCAATATTATCATTCAACAGTTTAAGTATAGTCATTTCTTTTGTATTCTTAACAGTGTCAAAAGACACCTGCTGTTCTGTATTGTTTTACAGTTACGGATCCACAGACAGAAGGCCTCTACTCTTATAATACTAACTTAAAAGCTTTAAAATTGTATGGTTATTAATACCCAAATGGCTATGGCTACTAGTACTCCAATTCCTTCAGTTTATGAAATGACATTTTTTGTCTCTAATTGCTCTTGGTATGTTTTGCTGACAGAAACTATTTAGCTATGTCCTTTCCACAATGGCCCCATGTTACCTGAATGCCTTTGGGATACTGTGTAGACACATAGACATCCATTTCTTGATCTTCTCCTTTGGGAACAACAAGCATGCTTTGGGTTTCCATATAAAAATGTTCCTGACCTCCTATATGTATTTCACCTGTTGGAGAATAATATGCCAGAATTAAGAAGGTTGTCAGATAGGACAGGTAGACTCTTCCAGCTGTTTTCTCATTATGGAGAAAGTCCACTGACAGTGCTTCTGCTGGGATTTAGGCTGCGTGGTGAAGGGCCACAAACAATAATCTTTAGCTTTCATTATACCTGCAGATTCGAAGTAGAGTTCTGTAGAGGAATCTGTTATGTCTGCCAATACAGTAGATCATATAGTCCTAGGGAAAGGTGTCTAGAGTCAAAATAGTATGACAAAGAGACTTCTAGTTCTAAGAAAAGATGGTGTAGAGGCACAGCTCCCTGTTCCTTCTGACATTATATATAAAAGAAACATAAGAAGACTCCCAAAGATAGAGAGGGGAAGGTATGGGACTCAAGGAAAGATACAATGGTGAGTTCAATGGGTTATGTTGCTGTTGTTTGCTTCATATAGCCTATACTTGGTACCAGAGGAACCAGAAATCCAAAAACACTACCGAGCAGACAGAAAAATTCCCAAGAAGAGCTACTTTCTCTAGATAAAGGACCAAAAAAGGAGAAGTCTAGCAAAACATAAAGCTTTTATACAAAAACTACTCTATTCCAGCCAAGCACTACAAAAAAAACCTGTGGACCTGTCTTTATCTGCAAAAGTTGAGTGGAGAGCCTAGACTTCTACCCTTATCAGGTTCAAATGAGGTACCCCAAGCCCTCTGGTGGGGTGATGTCAGTGGAGACCATCTGGGGAACCTAGACTTCCACCCTCTACCTGGCAATAAAAAGGCATCATCCCCCCCTCACCTCTTTCCCCACTAACACAGGGCCAGAGAAGTCCTAATAAAAATAGAAGATTGAAATAAGATCCAGAGTTTTATAACATAATACCCCAAATGACCAGTATACAGTAAAAAATCACTCATCATACTAAGAACTCAACTTGAATGAGAAAAGACAATCAATAGATGCCAACACTGAGGTGACACAGACCGTGAAATTATCTGACAAGGATTTTTAAGCAGCCATCATAAAAAATGCTTCAATGAGCATTGACATGAACACTTAAAATAAATGGAAGGAAAAAATAAAATCTTAACAAACAGAAGTTATAAAAAGATTCAAATGGGAATTTTAAAACTACAATAACCAAAATATGAGGCTCAGTGGATGAGCTCAACAACAGAATAGAGGGAACATAGGAAACTATCAGTGAACAAAAATAGAGAACAGCACAAATTTCCCAACCTGAACACAGAGAGAAGATAGGCTGAAAAGAAAATGAACATGGCCTAAGGAACCTGTGTGACTGAAATAAAAGATCAAAACTTTGTGTCATTGAAGTCAAGCATGTGAAGAAATAATAACTGAAAATTTCCCAAACTTGGTAAAAAGACACAAACCTACAGATTCAAGAAGCAGAGTAAATCCCAAAGGGAGAAACCAAAGAAATCCATGCCAAGACATCACAGCCAAACTTCTGAAACTGTCCACAAAGAAAATATCTTGAAAGCAGAGAGAGAAAAACATTACCTCATCTGTAAGAGAAAAATACTCCAAACGACAGCAGATTTCTGGTCAGAAATCATGAAGGCCAGAGGAAGTGGAACAACATTTTTCTTCAAGTGCTAAAAGACCTATCAGCTTGGAATTCTATATCCAGTGAAAATATCCTTCAGGAATGAAAAAGAAATCAAGACATTCTCAGATGAAGCAAAACTAAGAGAGTTTGTCTGCAACAGATCTATTCTAAAATAATAAATGGCCAAGGGAAATTCTTGAAACAGACATGATTTAATCTTGAAATGATTAAAAAAGATCTTGGAACATCAGGAAGACAAGAGAGCAATGGCAAGAATAAAAGTACAGGTAAACACAATAGACTTTCCTCTTGAATTCTCTAAATTGTGTTTGAGGCAGAATTACAACATTGCTTCATGTGGTTCTTAATGTATGTAGAGAACATTTTAAAATCAATTATATTATAAATGAGGGGGAGTATATCTGGGCCAAAGGAATAGGGAATGTCCCATACTGGATCCAGGGGTGGTTGTCCAGAAAATGTAATGAGGATGATGATTCGCCCAACAAGTTCTATATGTTAGTTACTTATGTACTTGTCACCACTTTAAAAAATATACAAACAGTTAATGTGGATGAGCACTAATTACTGATTGTCAAATAGAATTATAAAACAAAAAAACCACACAACACTACTGATAAATCAAAATGGAATTCTAAAAAATGCTTAAGAAACTCATTGGAAGGCAGGGAAAGAAATTAAAAACAGAGGTCAAAAAAAGCAACAACACAAGAAAACACAACTATGACAGTCATCATGCTAGGTGGAAGGCAGAACTTTTAAAAATTAAAAATGTACCCAATAATAGTGATTTGTAAGTTGTTTGAAGAAGACTCCCAAAGAAATATTTTGTATTGGAATCTAGACTTCCTATCTTATCCAAAATCTGAGTAAAGAAAGAGTACAGAAGAATGACAGATTCCACTTCATTTATAAAATACAAAAATTGAAATGTCCAGAACTCAAATCTCAATTGCAATTCAAGCTTTTATCAAAGACTGTACATTAAAAACCCCGCTTATCAGTAGGCTCCAATTCATGGTTTACAATACTAATGATTACACCTACCCACAAAGAATTAATTTTGTTAAATATCCACTTCATTTAAAAAAACATACTAGACAGAGCCGTTTCTGCTTAAACCTGTCAGGCAGGCAAGTTCTAGAGCCCTGTTAGGCTGTGCTGCCCACCCCCCACAGCCCTACACCATTCACCCTAAAGCACTGCTCTCAACTCACTAGGCTGGAAACCAATTTGTTCAACTAATCCCTGAGATAAAATTTCGCCCCAGTATGGGTTTAGGAGTGATTCCTTCGGGCATATTTGCATTTTAATATGGGGCCCTTAAAGAAGGAACAGCTGTTCAGATATGAGGGAGTTTATCTGTACTATGCCCAACAGAAGAGGTTGCAGGGAAGATAATCTCAGCCCCAGTGCTTCCAGGTCTCTTGCAAATCTTGCTACAGAGATTGTCATCTACCTCTCTCTCCAGTGTAAAACCCATCCTAGCAAATGAAATTTTAAAGAGATCAATGAGAAGCAGCTTAATGCAGAGGAGAGAACGTGCTAACTTCAGAATTGGAAAACTTTTGATTCCTGCTCAAGCCTGTCTGGCCTCAGCTGGCTCATTTGTAAACGGTGCTCTTTAATGCCTTTGACACCAGGGTTAAGGAGGGCTGAGATCTATCTTCACAGCCGGTAAAGGCAAACAATAATACCACACCCTTCAAGAACACAGTCTAAGATTTGATGTGATGCTCCACATATTTTATCTTTTAAGTGTTCTTTGTTTTTGGAGAACCAATTTTCCTAAGGGGCAAAGTGTTGCTATGAAAATGGCCTCCAATGATCTCACATTGAAACTAGTCAAAAATTCTTAATCCAAATGACAGCTGCAGAGTAAGAAAAACGAACAAACAAACCTCAAACGAGTGAGTTAAGAGAATGAAAACTTAGAAGTCCCTTTTAAACCTTCCTGTATCATTTTTATACTTATTAACAGGGTGTGATGCACGTAGCAAGTTAAAATTCAAGTAAGAGACAGATTGAACAAACTACCTAACTGAAATAAATAATTAAATAAGATGCCAGGAAAAATACAATAATTAAGTCCTTACACAAAAACATACTGTGGCACAAGTGGAGGAACCCCCTAAATGTTGATATTTCCAAGATGTTCACACCATGGGCCCTCTTCTCCCCCAAACAAATTCACCCTTTGAGTGTTTGCCACATTTTATTAATCCTGAGAGTCACCTGGAGCACTGTTAAAATTGATCAAAAACCAGATTCCTGGGGTATCCTGGATCCATCAACTCCAGAATCCCAAGAAAAGGGCACAGGAATCTCACAGGTTTCATAAGCATCTTCCAGTGAGGAAAACTGGGAAACACTGGGTTTGCTAAATGCACTCCTGCCAGTGTGTGAGCTTTTCTAGAGAGAAACAACAAAAACATCTTAACCTAATAGTAATTACTGCTCACAGTTACGGATCTCTCACTATGTGCCAAGCACACCTGCACTCTCTCTCACAGTCTTCATAATGGATCTTTGAGATCAGTATTATTTTATCCATATACAGGAATATTTCATTTTATTGCATTTTGTTTTATTGTGCTTCACAGTCTGAGACCCTCCACCAGTAAAAAGATTACACCTCACTTTATTGCAGTGGTCTGGAGCTGAACGCACAGTCTCTCTGAGGTGTGCCTGCATATGTGCTGAAGGAAGTCTGGAAGGGAGGGAAGGAGGACAGGAGGGAGAGAGAAAAGACAGAAGAGGGAAGGAAGGGAGGGAGGGAGAAATCGGAGACAGGAGGAAAGAGAAAGAAACAGGGGCTTCGGAAATCATGAAGAAAAAAAAAGCTATCAATTCCACAACCAGCTTTGTCACTTGCAGCTGTTGTGTGACTGTGGTCATGTTCCTTAACCACTCCAAGCTTCAATTCCCAACCTGCAAGGTGGTTGTGAACAGAAAAAGAGAAAACATTTATACAGCAACTATGGCCACAACTGCTTCCCCTTCACCATTTTTTGTCCAGATAGTTTTACCTTCAATAATTTGATCAACCGCTTTAAAAGCTTCATCAACATTTCCATATTCCAGTTTCCTTTCTGGCTCAAAGAAGGACTTGTGTTGTATAGCTTCCTAGAAAGAGAACAGAAGAGTGAGGCCCCCCGGGCATGAGACCCAGCCCTGGGGCAGGAGCCACAGGCAGTGGGGCATCGCCGAGCCTGGGCAGCGTTTCTCCTCGTGCTCGGGGATGCCGTGCACTTGCAGCATGCCTGCACGGCTGAGCTAAGGCCCAGGCCTCAGCGACACTGCCCACAGAACGAACACAATGCCCCCATTTGGTCAAAAGGAAGAGCGTATGCTCAGAAAAAGCTGGTGCCTACTTGGCCCCAGAATAGACCTAATATTTTCCAGGCAGATTGTTCTCTTCATGCCACAACCCATTGCATGCAGCCAATGCTTGGGCTCTGGACCCAGTCGGGGTTGTGTCCATTTTTCCCATTGATCAGCTGTTTGACTGTGGGCCTGTTACTTCACCTCTCCGAGCCTCATCTGTCCAAATGGAGGTGTAGCTGCGCACAGAGCTCCAAAGGGGTGGCAAAAAGCATAAAATGAGGTGAGGTACTTAGAGAGCTTACACGGCATCAAACCAGCGCTGAAGCAATGCCAGCTGATGACACTCTAACGATAAGGTCATGGCAGCCCTGCCTGCCAGCCCCATGCTCCCCCTCTGGGGAGATGAGCGCAGCACTTGCATAGCGCAGGAGAGCTCCTGGGACCCCGGCCCTGAGAGTGAAATTCCATTTCAAGCCCAACATAGGTACCACATGTGCACTTACACACTGGTTCTTATTGGCTTCCTCTGGGGCCCAAGAAGGGGTACAGTACTGGGGACACATAATCCGGGGTGCAGCTATAATCATTGAAGTTGGTTTTCTTACCTATCCTTAGGAATTTATCTTGCTGTAATCCCTGTGCCAACCGGGCAATGTCACATGCCAGCTCCTGCAGCATTATCTACCGTGGATTATTGCCCATCCACGAAATTCCAACCTGCTTGCAGTTGGGGATCCTCCTAACTCTGGTTCCCGTTAGCCACACCAGCAGCGGGTGTCCATCGACATACCTTACGGGGATGCTTTATTGTGATCCTGATCTTTCCTCCACTGAAAAGGGGGGTTGACATGTTTTTACCACTGTGGGGCCCAGGTTCTTTGACATAGTGTTTGTTGACTGCTTGTATTACTGACCAGCTGTGTGATCTGGGGTAACCCTGTATTTTAGTTTCCTCATCATAATGGGGATAATGGCAGTTTTTAATCTCATAGGACTGTGAGCATTTAATGAGTTACTGTAGGAAAGCTGCTTAGAACGCCATAGCTGTAGAGTGAGCTCTGTGTGGGAATTAGCTATTGTTGTTGATCACAAAGACTGAGGAGAGCTTCTGGTCAAGAGCATATTTTTCTCACATGTAATTAGCTTGACCTTTTGAGCCAAGAGTTTTCCCATTCAAACTATTAAAAACTCTAAAAAGCATAAGCTACGTTAAACCTTAGAGATTAGTGACAGAGATACATTTGTTTTTATCCTATTTTGATTGATAACACACTTTTCTACTGGAGTCAGTTCATGTGATTTTCTTATTAATCTAAGACTCAGATATTTCAGGTAGGAAACAGGAGTTCTATAAATCTTATTTTTAAAAGTTTAACCTCTTTCCACTTCACTGGCCGCTTGCTCTTTGAGTAACTTTGGGCCAATTTCCTGAATATTTACTGGTCAGGAAAGTGATAAAAGAACTTTAATGTGTAGGGAGCAGATAGGAAATGCAATTCCAAGTTATTTAAGTTGCCAAAATATCTGTAGGTATCTTGGGATCTATTTCTCATACTCATTTCAAAGGATAAAAAAATAGTGTCTCCAATATTTGCTTCCTAAAGTATCTTGTTGGTTCTCACTGTGCCTGGGTGAAGAGGGCCTGGGTGAGTCTGGGCCAAGGTAAGTACAGTAAGACCTCATTCAACATTGATAGCTCTTAGAACTGTGGCAAAATGACATATAACAACCAATTTTACAACAGGTTAATTGATGACAGAGACAAGAGTTTAAGTTCTTAAGGCACCTCATCAGCATTATCACGAAACAAGGCTGAATGAAACGATGTCATTCAAGGACCTCCTGTACGGAGTTATAGGGCGTGTCTCCTCTCTGGGATACTGTTGGTTGCCCACCCAGCATTCCTCTCACCTGTCTCCTTCCAAACAATGCCTAGAGTTCAGCTTAGGTCTCCACCACTCTCCCATACAGCTCATATACTTCAAAGAAATCTGACCTCCCGGCAGCAACCAACAGCTCCCCCGTTCCCCTGGTCAGTCATTGACTCAGGGTTGGATACGTGACAAAGTGGCCTAATGGGGCTGGATTTCAGGCCTCATGGAATGCGGGGGCAGTGGTGGTCTCTTCTGCTTCTGGGATAAGAGCTGGAAGCTCTGGCTGCCATCCTGTGACCACAGGGGATAAAGCCTGTACTGTGGGCAGCAGGGAGAGGGGTCAGAAGGTCAGGCTTCTCGCTGACACTGATACAGTTTGGGGCCAATAAAGCCCCCGTGTTTTGGAAGCCACTGTGAATCAGATTTGCTTTCCTGTTACTGTAGCCAGCATTTTTACTGATACACCCCTAAAATCTGCTCTTCTGGCACCACCCTTGAACTCATTACCTCTATGGTTAGGATCACTGGCTCCAAATCTTGGTAGGCAATCTTCACTCGCTTCGCAGCTCTCCTTGCCTGAACCTCGGAATCCGCAATCACGGCACAGACAAGCTGACCCACGCAAAACACCTGCAACACAGAAAAGACCTCTGCTTTCAAGAAGGGCAGGCACCAGGCACTCTCCTCGGGTTCATTTTTCTTCTTCCTCTTAGCACAGAGCTAGACACATGGTCAATGACCCCTTCATGTATGTCTTAGCCGCAGTGCCATGGTTAACCAAGCCTTCGTTAGGACAGTGCATTTGCAGAGTGGGCACTGGGGGCGTCGGGACTGTTTGCTGCATCATTGGCAGTGGTGGCTGAAGAGGTCAAGGGTGATGCTGCCTCCTGTATAGGCACTCAGGCTCCGTCCGGGCCAGCTGGCCTAGGAGAGCCAATGTCACAAGCAGGGCCATCTGAGAGGGAGCTTTTGCCTTTGCAGACAAGTTCACAGCCTGTCTCATCCAGAGAGGAAGGAGAGAGAGTGCTGATGCAACACTGCTGGTGAGCAAGTCTCTGCCCCGGTCTGATGGAGCACAGGCTTTTCATGAAGAGATGAGAGACTGTACTGGCCGAGGGGTGACCAAGCACAGAGCACTCATCATTTCACCTGCAGGTGGGCAGGTGGCCTAAGGAGTTTACACAGGGACCAGGGCACAAAGTTGTCGGGAAACAAAACCAAACCAAGGCTCCAGAAAGGTAGAATACTCAGGACTAGAAGAAGTCACCAGGACTGTTTCGTTCTCTCATCTTATACCATGATCACAATGAAAACTTAATCGCTTATTTTTAAAATCTATATTAGACTATTAGGTCCTTTCTACAGGGAGCATATAGTAGTTTTAACATCAGAAAAAAAAATGGTACTAAAAAAAGTTAAATCCAGAGCGCTCTTGCGAGTACACGGGGGTGTGTGTGCACAAAACCTGCTGAAATGCCTCTGCTGCATTCTCTGATCACTAAAGATACAGTAGCCAAAGCTTTAATCATTTGGAACTTTCAAAGAGCAACAATGCTAGCTAGCATTGTTCCTCTACTCATTTGCCCTACTACATGGGAAGGAGTTTGTGGAAAATACAGGTGAATCAGACATGGGGCCTCATTCAAGAATTTTAGCAGGTAGGAGAAATATAGAGAGTCCCTCAAAAATGTATATACACAGGTTGAATAATTATAAGGGCAATGTTTATTAAAATACATTTCATTTTCAAGATTGAGCTATCAGCTATTAAAATGTGTATACATTTTTGAGGGGACACCCTATATCTAAGGCATGGAAATAAATAAGCTTAATACAAAGTAGAAAGTTCATTAAAGGTCCACTTTGCGTTCTCCTCTCTACTTTAAGCTCTGTGAGGGCAAGACCACATGGGTCTTGTTCAGCTACAGTGAGCAGCCACAGTAGGTGCTCATTTAAAAAATGTCTGTTGACCTTGAACTTAAACTTGAAGGAGGAGTCAATGCCTTGCAAATCTCCTGCCCTCTAGGCCTGAGGCTACGTGGATTCATTGTCTTCTGTTGACAAATGGTTCGCAGTCCCCTGGACCAAGAGATCAGCTCTAGTTTCCTATCTCTGCCAGAGTAAATAGTAAGAAAAGTCAGGCTCAATGACTTCAGTGCTGCAGCTTATTTCTTGTGCCCAGAATGGATCTATTCTCTGGCCCCGCCCCCAAAATGAGAATTAGGGGGCCAAGACAGAGCTGAACCCTACTAAATGAGAGTGGGGAATATCTAAGGGCCACCCCAGGATGCAGAGAGTGAGGGAAGAACCCAAAAAGAGTGGCTGGCTGTTACTGTAAAGTTCCCCGCACACAAGGGCACTGGGCATGTGGAGATGGTGATGGAATGTTGCCTGATGTCAGACCAACAATCAATAAATGCCAACTGTTCTGGGGTCTCCCGGGAACCCATCTCTTTTCTTTTAAAAATATAACTATTAGTTATAACTATACACACACATACTTATATCAGTGTTTCCTCAAGAGATTTCGTGTATGATCAATCTATTTAAGTGACCAATACATTTGCTGACAAAGGTTACGATTATGGCTCTATTGGTTTTTCAACTACCACCAAGTCCCCACTTAGATGTCAGTGAGCCCCAGCATGAAAATGATTAACTGTAATGCTTATGTGTCTTGTAAATATGTGATCAATGTGCTCCTGGCTGGTGCTTTTGCCAAAGTGTGGATTCTGGGAAAGTGCATATATCTCTTTTTCTTTTCATATTTGTGCACTTCTGAGGGCAGGGGTTATATTTGTTTAACTTATTTTCACAGTGTTAGTTCCACGTTCAATGGCATAAATCAACAATCCAATGGGGGGGGCGGGGGAGGAAGCCTGTTAAATACATGGCAAAATGAATGGATGAGTAAAGGTGAGTTCAGAAAGGAGAGAGAAGCCCTGCCAGGCATGGCTCAGCTGTTGAGCTTCAGCCTAGGATCCAGGAGATGGCGGTTCGATTCCTGGTCAGGGCACATGCCCGGGTTGCGGGCTCGATCCCCAGTCAAGGGCGTGCAGGCGGCAGCCAATCAATGACTCTCATCATTGATGTTTCAACTCTTTCTCCCTCTCCCTTCCTCTCTCTGAAATTAAAAAAAAAAAGAGAGAGAACTTGTGGATTAAAGGATAGTGAAAGGTGATCAGAGGGGAGACACCACTTGAACTGGGACTGGGACTTTGGACACTGACTAGGGCAATGGCTAGAGAGTCACAGGAGAGAGATTAGCAAGAGATTAGCAAATAAAAATTATCATTATTCTTTCCTCATTTGTTCTTTCACACATGTAAGCAGCACACTCTCTTACTACTAGAAAATATAAAACAATCAAGTGCCTTTTCTATAACTGGTCAATTTATTATGTGGAAAATGAATATATTTGAAGTCATTCACCATTAGAATATAGTGTCTTATAATAAGCATTCAAAAAACATAGGAATCCTTTACCATGTGCCAGATGCAATGCTATCTTTAACAAAATCAGACATTATTATTATTATTAAGGAGGAAGTTATTATTCAGACAGAAAGCAAAAATGCAGTACCGTATCTGACGCCAGCAGCTTCTCGGGTGCGCCCAAAAACCTGAAGGAGTTTACGCCTTGAAGATGTTCCTCAGTCACGACATCCACCACGCCTGGCAGGCTGAGGGCTTCCGACAGATCAACCGACCTGGAAGAGAGCACACGGAGCAGGCCCTCAGAGCAGCCCCACAGCCTAGGGGCCACGGGAATGGGCCTAACTGGAGAACCGGATATGACAGAAGCAAATAAGTCAGAAACACTCCGACAGTGCTCTGCCAAACAACTGAGGAAAGACCCCTGGGACAATGAAGTTATTCATTGGAGGGACACACTGTAGTAAATCCTACATTTCGATCCCATCTCACCTCCAATCTGCATTGAATATCACCAACCAATAGCTTTCCCTCCTCACACCATTACTTGTCACTAATGTGACTTAGGTGAAAAGGCAATCATTAATGTCTACCGGGTGAGAACTTTATCACTTACACAATCTTAGCATGAGCTCTTGAACTTGTTACAAAAGCCAGGAAAAGTTCCCGGTCCACTGTAGGCATGTCGTCACAGTAGATGGCTTCGCCTGTGGCATGCTTAATGCCAGACAGGTGCATGATGGGATGGCCAACTGGGTCTTGAGGAAGCTGCTTGGGGTCTACATTCTGTTTAATCAATTACCAACATATCATTTTTATAATCATATTATACACACCTCCCAGAAGATGGTAGCTATCTAATTTACAACTATACCAGAACACTTTTGAAAATGAAAACTATCACTATAAATAGTAACACCAGGACAATAAGCCCATTTCAATAATTCAATAGGGAAACTGTCATGGATGCATAGCCATTATGTTGCTCTTATTATTTCCCCACTTTTTAAAGTAAAAACCACAAATATCTCTAACATAAATTCCATTTGTATAAGTAATGAATATAAACCTTCTTGGTAATGTAAAATTATGTCTTTTTGCTAATGCCCATGTATTTTTAAAAATTTTACTATCAAGATTATTTTAGTGTTTGTATCTAAGCATGGCACATATATTTTGCAGAAGAGCGCAATGACATCATGACTGTTTGTAGGAAATAATGAGGGCGTGTCTTCAAACAGAGAGCCCTTTTTTCTATTTTGAGTAAAGAAGCCTGCCAAAAGATTGAAGAAAAGTCCCAAAGTATATATTTGTCCATTCTATAATCAAATACCAATTTGATTATTTTAGCTGAAGACATGACACTTTGTTTTTGGTAGTGAGCTGTGATGAATCTCCTGGTGAAGAGGTTGCACTTGATACTTGCTTCTACTTGTTCTGTGACTAAAGATCTGATGGAAGAAAGAACGCTCTTCCTCAAGCTGCTGCTCGCTTCGAGCTGTGTCAAAATGCTTTCAAAGCAAATGAACTGACAGGGAGAAAATGCTCGTCATGAACACTGAGGCTGCTCTAGCAATGTGGGCATTTGTGTGTGTGAAAAACCACAAGGAAAACAGAAACAAAACTCATCCGTGTGGAAGACACACTGCTTCCAAACCTTGTCTCGCAATCCATAATAGCAAACTCCCTTCCAGGCTATTAACTAAGTGAAGATTATCACTTTTCTTTGAATGATTTGAATGCCCATTAATTTGCTGTGGTTCCTTTCTAAAGTTCACTCCATTGTCAAGGGTAGGGATTTATAAGCCAAAGGTTGTATCTGTCATAGTTTGCAGAACACCAGGGAAGATGGTAGCTGTTTTTGTTTTTTAAATCCTCACCCAAGAATATGCTTTTATTGATTTTAGAGAGAGAGGAAGGGAGAGAGAGAGAGAGAGAGAGAAACATCAATGTGAGAGAGAAACATTGATAGTTGCTTCCCATACTTGTCCAGACAACTGGGGATAAAACCTGCAACCTCGGTGTGTGCCCTGACTGGGAATCCAGCCGCAGCCTTTCGGTCACGGGATGACTTTCTGAGCAACTGAGCCATCTGGCCTGGGCTGGCAGCAGGTGATTTTTGTGTGTTTTTGTTTGTTTGTTTGTTTTGGCAGCTATTTTTAACAGTCAAAATAATCATTTTCAGTGGAGTTTGGTGTGTTTGAATTTTTGAACATATTAAACCTAAAACCTGAGGGGTATACGCCAACTTCAATATTCATTACGACATACTGTAAGCTTTTATAACTAAATCCAACAACATACTCAATGTTATTGACTTAATAAAACCCTCCAGGTAAAGTTTCTTAATAATAATTTCGAGGAAATACACATTGAATCTTATCCAGTTTACCAACAGGATGACTGCAGGTGATATTTTTATGATGCTGTGGCAGAAAATTCCATTTGAAAGTTATGAGGATTGTGTTCTCTCTGATAGTCAGTTTCCCTTAGGGGAGCTCGAAACAGCTCTTAGAACTTATGTTTGATCCAACTCTAAAATGTAACTCACAGAAAAACCACTGGGTGAATGGGCACGGGGAGCAAAGTAGATTCGTATTCAAATAAAATAAACTAGCAGCTCTTTAAAAAAAGCATCACTTCGTTTCATCAACTTCCAGGGCCTGCGTTTTCTGCCCCTCTGAAAATAAAATCAAAGCGGCCCCATGGTGCCCTGACACAGAATGTGACTTTGGTTGTGCTTGGACTTCCATGCTGCCAAGGGCAGAGCATGTGGCAAGCTAGCCGGCTCATTCACGTTGATGGCACAGGGCCACAGAGCAAAACACACCTCCTTCAAGATCAAAACAGATTTTTAAAAAAAATTACCACTGGTAGCTTGATTTTCAGTCACAATTCTTCATAGATTTTGAAACTTTAACACCAAAGAAGGCTGTGAGTTCACCAGAAGGGGGCTCAGGCTTACAAAGCTTGAGAATCACTGAGGGGTCAGTGGGAACGTCTGAGTGAAGGAGTTACAGCCCAGGCCCTTTGAGTTAAAAAAACAAATGCCACTAACCTGGTAGTTCACTGTGCTCCAGCGATGTCTAGAATGAAGGTCCTCTAAAGCACTCTCATACTTGTCCATAAGGCTAGGATAGTGAACAGGGTCCTAGAAAGTAGAACCATTGCCAATATTTAAAATGTGCCCGAGTGGTCTTGGAAGGGAGGCTAGTGTGGTTCTTAACGAGCAGCTCTGAACTGAAGTCTAACATTTATTGAGGACTCGCCCTGTTCAGGACCCTGTAAGTACAGCATCCCCGACTTCTGGGACACATGCCCTAGAAGGTCCACACATTATGAAGAGCCAAGTGGCTCTAGTAGCTCACTGCCTTCCAACATCTGTTTCTTATGATTCTCTCAGAGGTAAGTCCTAAATGATCTGGGGACTCAGAAAGCAATAAAACAGGGAGATGGAAGCTAAATAAATAAAATGGAAAGGAGTAGAATGCTTAAGCCAGGAAAAAGTCAGAGCCAAAGCACACCATTGCGAATGTACATAAAACTCTGCTCTGACCATCTGCCAGCTCGAGAGAAAGGAAAACACAGAGGCTGCATCCCAGCCACAGTCCTGCCAGAGGAAGCATTCTGGGGTCCCAGGAAGAACGCCTCTTAGAATCAAGGAAAATAGGTCATTTGGGTTTATTTATTTATTATTTATTTTTATTTTTAACTTTTTTTATTGTTCAAAATATTATAGATGTGTCTTTTTCTCCCCATTTACCCATTCCACGCTGCCCCACTCCCCTCCCCAGTCCTTCACCACACCACTGTGTCCTTGGGTTGTGCATATAAGTTCTTTGGTGATTCTTTCCCCCTCCACCCACCCGCCCCTTCCTTCTCTCTGACATTTGTCAGTCTGATCTGTGCTGCCATGTCATTGAATCATTCCTGTTCATCAGTTTATTAAGTTCTTTAGATTCCACATATAAGTGAGATGATGTGATGTTTGTCTTTCTCTGCCTGGCTTATTTCTCTTAGCATAATATTCTCCAGGTCCATCCATGTCCCAAAGAGTATGAGATCTNTTCATCAGTTTATTAAGTTCTTTAGATTCCACATATAAGTGAGATGATGTGATGTTTGTCTTTCTCTGCCTGGCTTATTTCTCTTAGCATAATATTCTCCAGGTCCATCCATGTCCCAGAGTATGAGATCTTTCTTCTTTACAGCTGCGTAGTATCCCATGGTGTAAATGCCCCACAGCTTTTTATCCACTCATCTACTGATGGGCACTTGGGCTGTTTCCAGATCTGAGCTATTGTAAACTGTGCTGCTATGAACATAGGGGGGCATATATTCTTTCTGATTAGCGTTTCAGGAAAAATGGCCATTTGGGTTTTTATGCAAGGCTTTAAACAAGACACCTAATGGTTGTTTTTTACATTAAAATGTTTTAATAAAAAATTAAAGCCAACAAAGGCTATTATTGTTAATAGTAGATACATACTGATTAGAGGAAGTTGAATTGAAAGTATGAGACTACAAGGCAGAAGCTTTGAATTATATCACTTGATTCACCCGAGAAATTGGATTAGTTTGCTGTTGATCAGAGGAGTATATAATTGGCTTTATTTTTTTCTCTTGTGATTACCTGGTGGTACTAGGTCACTTATATATGATTTTAAGTTTTTATTCTCAAAAGTTTGATACAACTGTTTTGGTTCTTAGTTGTTCCTATACATAATGAGAAGATGCCCCCAGAAGCAGTGATAAGAGAGAACTTTGTGCCTTTTATTTAAAGTGATCCTACTAATTTCTATACCACATAAAGAATGCGCTTGGCTTCTAGTCAGTTGCTTGTAGAGTGGGATTAATGAGGCCCATACGGTTCAAGTTCCCTTTGGGCCCAGCAAATGCATGCAGACAAATTCTTTTAGTTGTGTTCTTCCTAGTCAACAATCTGGTAATTAATAGTTTGTCAAAAGGGAAACCAGGCAAAAGAATGCCTGGATGATTACTGTGCTTTACTTGCAATTCTTCCCCAAATTTACAAGCCATCAACAGACAGCCTGAAGTATTCCCAGCAAGCCCATGTGTTTCTAACTTGGGCTGTCTTTTCTGTTCTACAGCTATTTGGCAGGGGGTTGTTGCCTCCGCTTTGGGTGTCAGCATGGCTCCTAATACTGGGAAAGCTAATACATGGTCACTTCCACTTACCATCCTCTTTAAAATCTGCGACACTTCCAGGTAGAACTTGAAGAGGAAGCTGATGATGAGAGTCCTCTTGAACTCCACCTTCCCCCCCGGAGCTGAGCCTGGAAGGGAGACTTCGTCCAGAACCAGCCTGCAAGCTGCGTCCAGCATCTCTTCATTCCAGCGCCTGTGAGAGGTACAAAAGAGGACTCCTTGCCTGATAGGACTCACTGCCTCACAGTCTCAGCTAGTGTGTAAGACAAATAGCTACAAGTTAATGCAGGAAATAAGAGTGCAAGCTTCTAAGTTGGGCAACCCAAGTTTAAACCACAGTTCACTCTCAAGGTGTCTGGCCCAGGCCCACCTCTTCCTCATCTGTAAAAGGGAAATAATAGATCATACCTCATGGGGTAGTCATGAGAAAGAAATGACAATCTGTGTTAAGGCCTCAGACCAGGAGCAACAGACCCTTATATCACTAGAACGTTTATTGCAAGCCAGGTTTTTGTTTTAAGCACCTTATATGTATCCATTCATTTAATTCTCTCGACTATCCCATGTGGTGGGGATGACTGCCCCCTTTTCACAGAGATCACATAATCAATAGGGATTGAACTGAGATTTGGACCCAGGCATCTTGGCTCAATTGAGCTCATGTTTTTATCTATTACTCTCTGTTACTTAGGAAATAGTAACTGATATATTCAAGAAATATTGGCTATTAGTATTACCTAAAGATAGAAAAGTCAGGCAAGCAAATGCATCTAGCAATTTATGATAAAACAAACTACCATAATCTGTTTTTTGTTTGCTCGTTTGTTTTAAATATATCTCCATTGATTTCAGAGAGAGGGAGAGGGAGAGAGAGAGAGAAACATCAATGAGGGCAGAGCCACTCACCAGCGGCCTCCCTCATGCCCCCACCAGGCACGGACCCGGGCACACGTCCTGACCAGAAACTGAACCCCAATCTCCTGGATCACAGGCCGATGTTCAACCGCCGAGCCACACCCTGCCGGGCCCACAATCTGTTTTTCATCATGGTAAATTATTCTTTCAAGAAAGAATGCAAATGTACTCATTTTGTTTACTGTATCTGTGTGCCGTTGGGATATGGGCTCTCTCTCCTTTTTCTCTCCCCCCTCTTCCCCTCTCTCTATCTCACACACATGCACATACACACAGACTATATGATTCCCACTTCAGAAGTCACTAAAATCAAGACATAGGGAAATAATTCTGAAATATTATTGGAATTCCATGCCATTAAATAAAAAGATAGCAAACATTTTTCTTCTTATAATTTCATGTCATCAAAAAAAGAGCTGCTCTGTTACTTGGAGTCTAAGGACACGATGCCATACCTTCCGATGAGTTTCTGGCAGGAATTCTTTGCACAGATGGTGGCTGGACCAACGCCTCCATACGAGATGGATAACTCTCTGATGATGCCATCCCCCTCTCCAAAAAAGACTCTCATTCCTGAATTGACTATGGCCAGCGAGTTCTGCTGCCGCTGGGCTTGTCGGAAGGCTGACACGAATTCCCACTGAAAGCAGAAGTTAAGTGGCACGTGTAGAAACACTCTGAGTTCCCAGGCAGTTTATGCATGTCGCATCACACATCCTTGTCACACTCCGTTATGGGCTGAATTGTGTTCTCCCAAAGTTGATGTGTTTAAGTCCTAACTCCCAGGACCTCAGAATGTGGCTGCATTTGGAGATAGGATCTTTAAAGATGTAATTCAGTTAAAATGAGGTAATTAGGATGAGCACTAACCCAACATGGTGGTGTCCTCATAAGAAAAGAGAATTTGGACACATACACAACAAAGGAAGGACCATGCGAAAACGCAGGGAGAAGATGGCCATCTACAAGCCAAGGGGAGAGGCCTCAGAGGAAACCAACCCTGCTGACACCTTGGTATCAGATTTCTAGTCTCCAGAGCTGTGAGAAAATAAATGTCTGTTGTATAAGCCACCCAGTCTGCGGTACTTTGCCGTGGCAGCCCTAGTAGGCTAATGCACCCTCCAAGGCAGGCTGGATAATCCTCCCTTTATAGACGAGGAATCTAAGGCTCAGAGTGAGTCAGTAGTTAGTTCAGGGTCACAGTAGATCTTGAAACCAGGATTCAACTTGCTTTTAACTCCAAAGACCTTTTTGCCCACTACGTTCTAGTGCAAATGTATTTTTTTAGCCTCCTTCAAACCCCAAGATTTAGGTAGAGATATATTTTCAAGGCTTATTTAGTGAAAAGCCTCATGGCTTTTTAAAAAAACTAGTAAGAAAGTAACTTTAGAGTTTGGGGTGAGGGAGAGTTAGAGAGAAAGGCAGGGACAAAGGCCTGATTCCAGGGATGACAGAAGATTGCATAACACAAATGAAAAGTAACTACAGTAGTTACCGTAGACTTTATCGACCTCAGATTGCAATTTTATTTTTCTTTCCTTAAGTCAAGAACTTCTACCTTTCACTTAAAAGAAGCACTTCTTGGCTTCTCTTTGGCATATCCAAATTGCCAGCATCACTATTCTTGGGCTTTGGGGCTATAATTAAGTAAAAGAAGGGTGGCATGAACACAAGCACTGTGATAGGGCGACAGTCGATCTGATAACCTAGATGGCTACTAAGTGACTAACAGGCAGGAGCCGTATACAGCCCGGAGACTCTGGACATGGGGATGAACATGGGGATGATTCACTTCCAAGGCAGGAGAGAGTGAGATGACTCGGGATTTCATCAGACTACGTAGAACAACGTGCAGTTTACAACTTATGATGGTTTATTTCTGGAATGTTGCATTTAATATTTTTGGACTGCAGTTGACCACAGGTAACTAAAACTGTGGAATTGAGACCACAGCTAAGAGGGGACTACTGTATTCACAAGTGTCACAATCTCCCCTGTAAACGCTGCACACCTTTTCTTAACCCGCTACACGTTGGAATTAACAAGCTGCAGGCTCACAGGTAAAACCAAGGAATGGAAAGGGTGTTCTCACCTTCCTCGAGTAGGGGATGTTCACGGAGATCAAGATTTCTTCAGGCTTAAGGTCTGCACTGGGGCACTTTTCAAGAAAGTGCTCGTTTAAAGGAATCTGTCGTTTTCCTTCTGTGAAAAGAAATGACACTTTCCCTGGAATCTGTACTATTGAACAATCAAATTCCCCAAACTTGGGAAATAATCCTGCCAAGTACCTGAGGAAACTGATTGTTTGGGAAAAAAAGTGATCTTCCTATGCTTAATAAATCTCGTACCCTGTGATGGCATCTTGCAGTGTTTCTCCCCACATAGGCCCC